AATATTTAAATCGAGCCGAAAACGAACACACTGTTCACGAGCCGATTTCGAACACGAGTTATTTCGAACGAGCCAAGCCTGAGCTCGCTCAAGCTCGGCTCGTTTACAGCCCTACCGCCGAAGAGAACTCATCTCCTCCATGACAACAATATTTCAGTCTGGATTTTGAAAGGCAGCCTCAATAGTAGATGGATGCTGATGATTAGTCAGGGCCAAAGAAAATGCTCTCTAGGATGGTGATAATCTGCGAAGAAAAACATAGTATGTCATGGGATAGAGAGAGTGTCTAATTCTTTACATTACAAGAGGAACTAACTTCCTCATTTGGAGTAGTAATGTTGGGGATGTCGTCCTGAGGGGATTCAGGGTCCAGCAAAGAGTTAGCGAGCACCAAAGTAAGTGCATCAGAATGAGTGCGCCTAGTGTAGACGCAAAGAGTGAGAGGATGTGTTGGTGAAACCAAAGGGACAACGGACTTTTTGGTGGTAAGAGAAGTGGGTGGAACCAAAAGTAGAGAGGGTTACTCGATGGTAAGTGACGTAGGGTGAACATCCACAGAAGTAGAGTAAGGAACAGTGTCCAAGAACTCTAGCTCCCCCTCACTGGAGGTCGGGTTATGAAGCAGGGCACACTTTAAAAAAAGGAAACATCAGCACTCACATAGATCTTATTTGTGATAGGGTCGAGGAATCGATACCTTTTTTGAGTGGCAGAGCATCCGAGGAAGCACATTAGATAGACCTAAGATCAAGTTTACTTCGAATTGGAGTCGTGTTCCGAACAAAAGTTTTGAGCCTAAAAATATTTTAAATCTAAAGTGAAGAAGACCCGATTGTTAGGAAAGCAAGATCTTAGGATAGCTAAAAGAACAAAAATTGTGAATATTTGAGGAAACTCTATTTATGAGATAAGTGGTGGTTAGAATAGCATCATTCCATAAACGTTTTAGGACATTTGAGTGAAACATAATGGAGCGAGTAACGTCAACAAAAAGTCAGTTTTTTTTCTCTCAGTTACCCCATTTGTTGAGTGTCGGTACATAAGCTATGATGAATTGGGACATTTGAGTGAAACATAATGAAGCAAGTAACGTCGAGAAGAAGTCAGTTTTTTTCTCTCGATTACCCCATGATGAATTGGGACATTTGAGTGAAACATAATGAAGCGAGTAACGTCGAGAAGAAGTCAGTTTTTTTCTCTCGATTACCCCATTCGGTTACCCCATTTGTTGAGTGTCGGTACATAAGCTATGATGAAAGATGTCCTCACTTACCAAGAATTCTCCTAATATATAGTTAAGAAATTCACGATAATTGTTAATCCGAAAGACTTGAATAGGCATTTTGAATTAGGTCAAAGGTGTGGAAATTTTTCAAAGTAACAGCAACTTCAAATTTGTTTTTTTAAAATGTAAACACATGTCATCCAAGTGTGGTCATCAATCAAATAAAGAAAACACCGTTTATTGGTGTACTTACGAGTGCGAGAAGGTCCCCATAAATCACCGTGAATAAGAGAGATAGGAGCGGATAGTGTATAATTGTGAGGTGGATAAGAAACACGATGATGATTAGCTAACTGACATGTTTCACAGTTTAAATTAGACGGATTTTTATTAGTAAACATCAACAGATACAATTTTTTTAGGTACTAGAAATTAGGATGACCCGAACGACAATGTAACAACATAATAGGACATTCATTGGACTAAGATAAACTGCAAATATTAGGTGGAGTGTCCTTGTTCTATGTACTTTCCTTTTGAAAAAGGTAGAGTCTGTCAACCCGCTTAACAGTTTCAATTATCATCCCCAAACGACAATCCAAAAAGACAGACATCAGAAGAAAAATGAGCAACACAATCAATGTCATATATCAATTTACAGATAGATAAAATATTACATTTCAGCAAAGGTACATGTAACACAAATTCCAAGTTAGATCTGTTGTTAAAACAACAAACCCTTTATCAACAATGAAACTTTGAGATCCATCAATAATTTTAACAGTATATTTTCCTGAGCAACGATAGTATGTTGAGAATGCTTGAGAGCTTCCAGTCATGTGGTTTGTGGCGCCTAAATCAATGATCCATGGACTAGAATATCATAGGATTGATACATTGATGAACATGAGAGGTTAATGGTCTGGAAGAAAGCGGACTGGATTCAAGCAGCTTGATTAAGTGTTCCATTTGACTTCTAAGAAAATTAGAGGCATTTGATTGTTCCGAGTAGAGGTTGGTTGTAGTGTGTTGGATTCAGATGTCATGGCGAGACTCTTGAAAGATTTGACCCAAGGTTTGGATGTCGGTTTCCCGTGCAGCTTCCAACACTTATCACAAATGTGGTTGGGTTTGTGGCAGAAATCACAAGTTGGGTGACCAACCCAAGGTTCAGAACTATTAGAGATCAAGGTGGATGCTTCGATAGATGGGGTGGAAGTGTCGAGCATGAAAAGTTTCTCGCTTTCTTCGTGACAAATCTCAGTGAAAGCAGCTCGAGTAGAAGAAAGAGGATCTTGACCAAGAATACTGCCCCAGACTCTGTCAAGGTCTTCGTTAAGGCCAGCAAGGAATTGGGACATACGATCCTTTTCTACGTTCTTCTGGAAGAGGGATAAGTCAGTCAAAGAATCCCAAGTGTAGTCGTAGTATAGGTCGGATTTCATCCATAGTGCAACAAGACCATTACAATACTAGGTCACAGTCCTTGACCCATGTTTTGCCTCCTGAATCTTCTTAGATATCTCATATAGTTGGCCGAAATTTCCTACATCATAGTAGGTATCACAGACAGCCGTCCAAAGGGCGCTAGCTGAAGGAAATAACATATATAATCGAGGTCTATGTGGAGTTAGATCAGTCATAACATGACCATGGAGTTCTCCACTTCCCAAGCTCCATATGTCGGGTCAGCTTTGAAAGTAAAAGAAAGTAAAGTCTAGTAGAAGCATGTTCTTAGTGAAAAAGTAAGACCAAGCCTAGAGGAATCCTCTATACTCAGGGACTTGTTGAAAGTACATATGATTAAAAGATTGAAATAAACTATAACTTTTACATTTTAAATGATTCATGCTTTAGAAAATCAAGCTTAGATATACCAAGAAGAAACAAACAATCACAATTAATGTCATTTTTACAATCAACAGTTAGCCATGAAACACAATTTAAAAGGCCTTCAACATCATTCACGAGCATCAAGTGGCTTCGTTTTACTATCTTTATATTTTTAAACACCTTCATATTCTAAACTACTTGAGCAACATCTAATTGCAGATAACAATGCCGCCATTAAAGATCATAGTTTCTACATTAATTGGTAATTTGTTTGAGTTCGTACAAATTATATTTTTGCATAAATCTTCTTCATTAAGATGATTTCCAAGGAAAAAAAACTTTGACTAGTCTATAGCATTGAAAGAATGTTTTAAGAGGCTCCAAGAGAAAAATAAGAATCCACGTACAAGCATCCTGGTATTTAAATACTTACCCATCCAAATATATATAAATAGCTACTATTTGATGTTCCTTGTTAGATAGGATACATATATTGACACTATGAAACTGACACTTCAAAATTCAAAGGAAGTTCGCAGGACTAAGTATTCAACTTTAAAACTACAGCTTCATAAACCAGATGTCAAGCCATATACCTTGACATAATCCTTGTAGTAGTGCTTAATGATGGGGTCTGAGAAGAATGAATCTGTCGAGGTCACATTGGCTCCAGCAGCCTGTGCCCATCTTACGTATTGAGCCTTCCCTCCAAATGCGTTAAGATTATTCACGAGACAAAGAATTAACCTTATATTGTTCCTCCTTGCATCATATATGACAAAATCCAGTGCCTAATATGCAAAAAAAAAATTGCCATAAAGGAATTAAAGTCAGCAAAAGATAGGAGTATTAGAGTTACATATCAATCATTATGACATAAATTTTGTAAGGTAGATCAAAATTTGATTCAAAATAAGAAAGAGAATTTATCTACCCTTCTGCCATGAACCTAATGATGACAGCATTCAATCTGCTATTAAATCTCAAACACGCAAAGTTATAAATTATCAAAAATTTACTCTCGCCGTAGATGCAAAAGGATTTCATGTACTATGATTCCATTACAAGAATACCTGAAAGTTGAACAAAACATTGAATCAAAGTCTGTAACCCGCAGACTACATGAGAATACTGAATGCTGCATCTAAGCTTAATTTTTCAAACAAATGCGCCAGAAAAAATTAGATTGCAACTTGGGGAAATTTTCAGAACCTTATCTAGCAAACTACTCTCGTTTTCATTCCTATAAAACCAAACTTTATCATCAATCAAACTCTGCTAAGATTATGTTTCCCCACGTTCGATAATATAGCTACAAAGGTTAAATTCTGTATGAATTCCCCCGCGAAGAATTTGAAAAATATTTTTCCAATTATTCAATCCCTACTGAAATCCTGAATCCGCCATTATTGCTATGGTGATAAGCCTGCACAGTCCAATATCTAACAGCTACCGAATACTTGCTGGGAGCAGCACAATTCCCTATACAGTTTCATGAGAAATTCATTTTCCCCAGCAACATTCATCATTAATAGCCTACCAAAGCTTGACACATGCCAAGCACCATGACTCCTCCCTTAATGACAACACCGCTCGCATACGCTCGTTGGAGTGAGGGAGAGAGAGTGAGAGAAAAGAGACCTGTAAATAGCGCTCGTTGAAACGACCCGGGGAGATCTGAAGCGCATTGGCACCGCCATCACTGAAGGCCCATGTGCGGCAGACTGTCATTCCCATGGCTCGTCCGCGGCGAAACATCTCCGAGATCTCCTCCAGCTTAGACGATATCAGCCAGTACGAGTTCCACCCGTTCACGTATACCGGTGTTCCGTCCTCCACGTCAATAAAATGAGTTCCGTTCCGCCCAATGAAGTCCATCTTTGGTTGCAACCATGGGATCGGAATACGGATCCTAAACCCTCCACCGCTGCCGGAAGAGATCCAGTTGAAGTAGAAGAAGGTGGCAAGCAGGATGAATCCGAATGCCGTGTACGCTCTTCTTTCCATCTCTCGCCTCCTTCGCGAGTCCTCTCTCTCCCCCTCTCTTCTTATTTTGTGCGGCTAAAGCTCACAACAACTTTTTCTCATTGTTACATCTAAGTTTTGGGAAAAAATTTACTGTAAACTACAAATAGGTTATATGGAGGATTTTAGGAGGTTATAACCGCGTTATACCCTTGTAACCTCTATGTAACCTCTATGTAACCTCCATGTAACCTACATGTACCTTCTAGCAAGTTCTACACTTCTATTTTGATATACAGGTAGGTTACAGGGAGGTTATAGGGGGTATAACGCGGTTATAACCTCCTGAACACGCAGCTCTGCGTACGTCTTATGTACGCAAATTTTTTCCCAAGTTTTGGGAGCGGGAGGTGGATCCCTTGATGGAGTGGACTGTAGATTCTTTGAGGAGGTCACGGGAATAATCACTCAAGCGCAATTTTTGAATAATTTGGGGGTTGCTTAGTTTCCTCCAAATGATGTGCAATTTAAATTATTTATAAGATTTTAGTGAATTTTGAATATTTTGATATAATTTGATTGTTTGTAAAGTAAATAAAAGTTAATTATTTTTTTCTGTTTAACACTGTGTAGTCGACAATCAGCATAAAATTTGTCGAAAAAAATCATGACATGAATTCTTTAGATCATTCTAAATAAAAATATGACACTAAATATGATGCAATGGAGAAAAAAGATTCATGTAGCCGACCCCACGTTGTGGGATTAAGATTTTTTTGTTGTTCTTGTTGTTGTAACTAGATGCATAGACATTAAAGTAAAAATAATGTACTCTAATACTTACAATCCATTTGGTTGTCTTTAAATGGGGGGTATATTGTTTTTATTTTTCATTAATTATTTATTTATTTTTAAAAATATTACATATTTGATATTTAAATAAACAATCGAAATGAAAAGCTTTTTAATAAAATGCATTTAACCAACTAATAAAAAACAATAAAAGTTCACACTTCGGCTAAATATAAAAGTTCACACTATTCAGGAAATATAAAGCTGAAAGAGCACAATTAGCATAAGATAACTTTTCATATTGCAAGAGTTGCCATAATTCCTTTAACAAAAACGGAGGAAAAAATGGAAGATTAACCAAAAGATTATGCTAGATTAAGTCAATGTGAAAAAGATATGCATTATGGAGGCCTATGACCTTAAAAATAGACCCTAGAAAAAAAAAAAACGAAGCAAAAATAGTATAGCATATGACCATACAGGCGTGAACAGCCCGATCGAGAGCTTGTCGCGCCTTGCCTGGTTTAGGATCGCACCGATCGATAGCTTGCTTGCCGGAATGATGCCTTCTCTGCTTCGAGATCGCACTGATCGAAGGATTGGCCCCTGAAATCTTCTGCGAGAACTTCCGACAATCAATTATTCTGAGCTTTCCCTGCCGGAATCTTTGGCGAATGAAGCTCCCGAGGGATCACGAGGCTTCTGCGATGGATGCTGGCGAAGAGAGAAGAAGAATATGCTATGTGAATGTAGCCTGCGCGAGAGATAAAGGTGGATCTGCGAACAAAGATTGTTGGAGAATGGGAAAGGTGAAGACGTAATGGCGGGATTCAGGAGTTCCAGGACTCGAGCGGGGAACTTCTTTTTCGTTCGATATGAGCGCAATCTAATTACACCCAAATTTTATTAATTTTTGAAATTATAGTATCCTATGAATTTTTTTAAGTGCTTTGTTTACAATAAATCAACTACAACGAGACATAGGACTTTTGATAACCCTTGATCTCCTCTTGATTCATCTTCGATGCCGTAGACAGACCCATAACGACAAAAGTTCGTAGGGTTGTGGTGAATGGAAATGAGCGGAATAAAACATGACTAACCAAGAGTAAAAAGATGCCAAAAAATGACAAATGAACAATACTACTGAATTCAACAGCCCTTTTATAGGAGACATGAAATTTTATCCCTATATATTTAGGTCTTTGTTCATTTTAAAATTGAATTTTTCGAATAAAAGATTAAATTTTTCACAGTAATTTATAAATTAAAAATTCATACAAATATAACGATATCAAATTCACCCCCAAAAGAGAATATGATGAACACATCTCTTCATACTATTTTGATATGCCATATTATATTGAGGATAACGGAAATGTTTTTTATTTATTACCTAAAATCAATTATGGAAGTGCTTTGTCGCCAAAAAAAAATATAGCAACCATCATTTGAAGAGGTTATGACTATAATTTTTTTTTTTTTTTAATAGAGTAATAATTAACTCATCGTGAGGTCTAGCTTGGTCCAAAGCGCAAAGCAAGTGTATTGGGTTGGTTTTTGCTCGAGCCCATCAACACCGTCAGCCCGCAAGGCCGCCCCACGGTCCTTATCTTCTAATCAGCCCTTCTCTCTGTCGAAGGCAGATTCGCCTCCAAATCCTAAACCCTGATTGCAAATGTGATTGCTGTGTGATCCAAGTCAGAGATGCAGATTTCCTCCGGCATTTCATGTCCTTCTGTTCCCTTCCCTTTTCTTCTCTCCTTATCCCAGCTCTCTCCCGACCTTCCCTTCTCATTTCCTTTCTGCGCGCCGCGAACTCCCTATTCCGCCGTTGTGTCGTATTCCTCAGGAAGCGGACATAGTTGCTCAGCGGTGGCTCGGAAGAGGTCGGGGTTCATGTCCGTGATCGAACGAGCGATGGAGGAGGAAGAGTACCGCCGAGCGAGGGCGGAAGTGCAGAAGAAGGTTGTCGATTTGGAGGGATACTTCTTCGAAGGAATATCTGTGGGAGGTCACGAGACATGTGTGGTGGTGCCGAGTCTCAACTCGGCCTTTGACATTGGAAGATGCCCGGCCAGGGCTGTTAGTCAAGACTTCCTGTTCATTACCCATGCTCATCTTGATCACATTGTAAGTTTCCTTTATCCCTTGCTCCATCGCCCATCTTCTTTGCAGCTCATCGTCAGGTTTCATGCTGCATGCAGCTGCTTTCCCTCCAGATAATTTTTCTTCTCCTTTCGATCTGTCTTTCTTTCTTTTGAATCCATCATTTTGCTTCTTTTGTTGTTGGTTTTGGGGAACTTGTAGGACTCACTCATTTTTTGTCGAGGCTGAAGTTTCATCCTGGATGTGGAGACCTTCTACATTAATTAATTATGAAAATGCTGGAATCAAAATATTTACTTGTGATATTGTGTACGTATCAATTAAATGAACCCGTAAAAACGCACGTCGATTTTTACTCTACGAGAGAAAACACCAGTTCATGTTTCAAATTCTTGTTATCTAGATAAATACAAAATTCAAATCAATGACTTCATGTACATTCCAATTTATATGAATGAATTTTTATTCTTGAATAAGAACAAGTTCAAGAATTGTTGTATTTTTTGTTATCATTCATTATCTCCACCCCAAGTTCGATCCAATTTATTGTTTGATTTCCGCTTCCATGTTTTGCAAGAGAGATTATAGTTCAGATATATTCCATTGACTCGCGGTTTGATTATGTTTGATGTGATGCACATTATCGATTGTATTTTTGTCATCCCATCTTTTTAATCTCTTTTGATGAAGAGTTAGCGTGGGACAAAGATGACAATTATGAGATGGCCCAGCCAAGCGACCTGGTCGAGGAACTAGTAGGAAAGAATAATATTATTTTTTTCTTGTCAACAGTGTAAGGATTGTTTTGCAATAAATGCTTTTATATGACTATTTAGTGTTGATCTCAATTTGGTCTTAACAGCCTTTCATAATAGAGAACGAGTAATCTTAGGGAAGTTCACATCTATGCATGTGCTTTGTCCAGTTTTGTTATTACATTAATTTGTTATACTGCATGGATTGCTTGATACTTTAGGCAAGCACAAGACATTCTATCTTCTGGAACCAGCTAGAGTGAATTGAATGGTGTTAAATGGATATGTCCAGATACGATTTCGCAAGGGTGCTAATTGAAACAACTTATAGTTTTTCCTTTTGGAGTAGAGATTTTTTTTTCTTTTTATCATACTAGGGCTTAGGCGAGCTGTATTGAGCCTTGGGTCCTGAAATAGCCATGAGAGTTTCACACCTATTATCTATCAAGAATGTTGCCCCTAACTTACCATGCAAGAAGACTGGCTGGAGTAATGACAGCTTCATCATATATGTACAAAAACCTTCTGCATTAAATTCTTAAATCATATTATGGAAAATATGTCAATACAATAGGACATGCCAATAAATTCTTTTTGTTCAAAAGTAAGTTGAGCACGTTTGATAATGTTGAGGCTAAGGTTTGTACCTTGAGCTTATTATCATCACTTTCGTAAAGCTAGAATGGAATTCCAATAGTAGTTTGCAATTAAAATGGCTTATGAAGTTGAAGCTAAATATTTTCCATTACTTAAACCCAAATGAAGACACTCTAGACAAGAGTTTGACAAAGGCTCTTCTTTTTCATTAAATTATTGGAATTATTACAGAAAATGTGCTATAATTTGAGAAAAAAATAATATAACAATCCAAGAAAAGTTTAGTTTAAAGATCATAATGGCATTATGTAGATAATCTTGAATGATTGGGCTCATGAAAAATTTCCCACAAAAAAAAAGTAAAAAAATAAATGAAACTGGAAAAAGGAATAAGTGAAGGATTCCACGAAAGAGATTCAGGGAACCAAGTTCTCCATTATTGATGTTCTGATGAGGTATTAGATTCTACAATTTAAGTGTTTTTTTAATATTATTTTATTTAAAGGCCTTTTATAAAATCATTATGTTTGAGATCACGATGAACTTTGTTTTGTTGGTGACAATCTCAAAAGTATCATGAGAATCGATGATTCAGATTAAAACTGCTAAGGGGTTTATTTGGAATCTTCACAAGGTGAGATATATTTCAAGCTTAGAGAGGAATCCAATGTGAAATAGATGGCTTGATAAAAAAGAATATAATGCCTTTAGCGCTATCACTTGAAAGGTAATTAAGGGTGATATTCAATAGCACATGACAACAAATGTGAACACTGTATATAACTTATAATACTAGAATATTGAAAGCAACATTAGGCTAAAACATTAATCATACATAGGACATCTAACGCTAGGATATTAAGTGAGATGGGGATGAAAATTCTATATTTAAAAGGAAAGCTTTTAAATTTGAAGTTGTTGGATCCTATTTTTGTGATGTTGTGTTATTGGAAACTATAAACTCAAAACTTGGAGATTGTAATAGTTGATGTTTGAAGTCCTAGTGGCATTACTTGATGGTAATTTTACAACGTCACCCTCTTTAATGACTAGACCGGAATGTTATTAATTTGTTTTCTAGAAAATGAATATGTTATCTTTCATACTTTAAAAAAATGGAAGATTTTTGTAAAAAAAATCAGTTTGTTGTAAATGTTAAGTGTCTAAGATCAAATATTGAAAGGAGTGTATGGTGGAAAAGAGTTAAGGGAATTTGTCTCTACTGTCATTTGTATGTAGAGAACTCTATAGTTAATGAGAGATTGGTGAGATACAAATAAGAGTGAAAATATTCCTGCATTGAAAATGAAAATTAGAATTGTGCTCTTCTATACTAGCAACAATCATTACTTTTTAGCTTAAGTTTTTTGGTTGATACGTGTTTACTATTTGTATTTTGGGCTCAACTTAATCTAGTGATGCTTCCAATATTTTTAAGAAGCAGGGGTTCTTCATTAAATATGCGTATATTGTAAAAGTCAAGTTCCTTTAATTAAATGGTGGAGGTGAGCATGATAGTTAAGTGTTTAGGGGATTTTATAGCTAGTGGGATTTTATTGTGGAGGGCTAAGGGTATGTTTGGGGCAGTTGCAGCTGTATGAAGAAGTAGTTGTGAAGCTGATGCAAATAAACTATTGTTTATAAAGCTGTGGTGGCTATTACAGATTTTTTTTTTATTTACGAGAAATAAGGCCGCAACTATCTGACTGTTACTACATTTTAACAACTCAAATTGAAAAAAAATAGCTTTCTACCATAGAAATTTCTAAAAAACAGCAAAAAAACTAATTCTCCGAACAAAATTGTGGTGATGGTCTGAAAAACAAATTAGGTGGAAAGCTGTCCCAAATATACCCTAAATGGGATATTGTTGAGATACAAATAAGCGTGAAATTATTCTCATATTGAAGATAAAATTTGTGGGTTCTTTTCTTAGGAAACTAGAAATAGGCCTTACTCATCAGTTTAAATTTTTGAGTTGATGGGTATCCGTCTAGTAGTATATTGGGTTCATCAGGTTCAGCCCCACTGTTCAACCCTTCTAACACATAGAGTGTGGAATAAAAGTTCAAAAGTAAAATAAAAAGCCTTCGTAGTTAACCTTATGGTGGTAATACTGTTTTTGACACATAAACTCTGAAAATCAGCGATGGATTCTAAATCTCATGAAGAGATGGTGTGGCAACTGTATCATGGTGGTAACTTTGGCATGTCTTTTTAACCATATTGGATGATCTGAATCAAGGAAGATAGCTTGCTTTCATACCTTTTTTTTGTTGTATTTGTGGAGGTGCTTTGTTGGCCTAACTTGAAATTATGAAGTATTAATAATAGCACAGCTAATTGTACATAGGGGGGACTGCCAATGTATGTTGCAACTCGAGGCTTGTACAGTCTGAAGCCGCCAACAGTTTTTGTTCCTACTTGTATTAAGGAGAATGTAGAGAAGCTATTTGAGATTCATCGGGCCATGAGTCATGATGAGTTAAAGCTCAATTTAGTTGCATTGGATGTGGGTATGCATTTTTTTTCTCCTTTATTTAGGTTTTTATTTCAGTGGTTGTTTTGCATTAACTCTTTTTTTCCCCTCTATTTCAGGCGAGACCTATGAGATGAGGAATGATATTGTTGTAAGGCCATTCCGAACTAGCCATGTTATTCCCAGCCAGGTGTTAAATCTTATTTTTGTAACTGCATTTTCCCTCACAAATGCTTTTGGCCTGGTTCTGTGGTTAATATTGGGCATGTAATTTTTTATGTGCGGCAATCTCTATGTTGATCCAGGGATATGTTATTTACTCAATGAGAAGGAAGCTTAAAAAGCAATATACTCATCTAAAAGGCACTCAAATCAAGAAACTGAAGCTTTCTGGTGTTGAGGCCTGTATCCAATACTCCCTATAACAGAACTATTTTGTATACATTATTCCTTTAAGCTTATTGAAAATTTTCTTTTTGTAGATTACGGATACAATTTTATCTCCTGAAGTTGCTTTCACTGGAGACACAACATCTGATTTTATAAGCGATCCTCAAAATTTAGATGCTCTCCGAGCAAAAGTTCTTATCACTGAGGTATTCTTTCCAATACATATGGGCTTCTATTTGTTAGTTTTTAGGTTTTAGTCTAAGATGTATGGATACTCTTGAAATTCAAGGTATCAGTTCCTGTTACAATGTCAAATGCCTGATATGGCACCGGCAGTCATCATATATGAAAAAATGTGTAAAAAATTTGAAATTATAAAAAAAAAGAAAAAACATTTGACATCCATTTAGGTCAGGATAAATCACCATGGATATAGAAAAATGGCAATTTTAATATTTGTTTTTAATTTATTAAGGGATTGAATTCTCACCTTCCTCTTTTGAAGTTAAAATAGTAATATCATTTGTACTACATGGTATTCCTTGACAATTTTCCAATTTTTTTTTGGAAATCATTTGGAATTTTACGTTAAATTTATATTCTCTTAATTTTTATAATAGGTTTTGTTTATGATTTATGGGTCATTACATTATGGAAACTATGATTTTGCTGATGATTTGTTGTAGTTAAAATTTTAATATTATTATATGTATATGATTTATGAGTGAATATATTTTGATTTATATATGCATGCAACTTGCTTGCATGCCTGCTTGCCTTGCTTCGAAGTAGATTCAAATTGTTTTAATTGGCATCTAAAGTCTTCAACATCCAGCAATATAGGGGATTTTGATCACAATCTAGTTTGGTTTTGTTTGATGTACAGCTTCATTCAGGATGAAATATTGGTATTTGTAACTTCTAGGTTTTATATCATATGTAAAATGCTTACAACAAGCCCACTCCCATGATATGAGTGGCCTTAGAATTATTGCTGGTCTAGTATATAAGATCTATATGGAGTGGGATTAGCGAATGAACTCCAGGAGAATGAACTCCAGGCATACCAATTGGAGTCATATCTATACATAATTTGATCTTATAAGCACTTAATTTGCCTTACAAATAATTCAATTTTATTTTTCTTCAGTCAATTGATTGTATATCATGGATACTTGTTTGTAGAGATCTGTGACAAGGGCAATGCTAATTATACCAAATTTAATCCTATCCAATTTTAACAGACATTTACAATTGATCAGTCTTATCCAAATAAAAATAAAAAGCTAATAAATTAATTAAATTAATGTAAAAGAGAAATTTAACCATAAAAAGAGAGCCTAAATGGCTTTAAAACAAGCTTTGTTCATTTCTGTATAACCTATTTTGACTCCTAATTGTTTATGGTCATATTCTTATCCAAATAAAAAAAAAGGTAATAAATTAATTAAATTAATGTAAAAGAGAAATTCAACCGTAAAAAGATATAGCCTAAATGACTTTAAAATAAGTTCAGTTCATTTCTGTTATAACCAATTTTGCCTCATAATTGCTCATGGTAAGTTGGGCTTTTATGGATGATTTGGCTTATCTAAAGGCATGTACCGCATGAATTCCTTGGGTGAGCAAAGAACATTATTCTGGAAAATTGATACTCATTCAACTAGCCAGGTAGTTAGGGGCTAGCTTTTCAGTTCATTTGAAGCAAATTTTCCTTCTCATCGTTCTGGAAAATTGTGCTCAACATTCTCTCCAAGTAGAGCTTCCTATGAAATAATACTTCTAGTGTCCAAGTGAGCAAACATAATTGGAATTATCAGATTTATGGAAGCAACATATGTAATGGAAATCTCTCTTGTTAAAGCATCAACAAGAAATTCTCCTGGTTGGAACCTACTTTGGTAAGTCACTATATCTTCAAGTCTAAAAATAAGACTAATAAATATATCATGAGTTAAATATAAGGTATTAATATTAGAATTGAATTTTCAAATTATTTTGAAAAGGTGATACTCTCTTGCGTGCATTTTTTTATTCCTAGTTTGCTTGAAGCCACATTTATTATATGTTGTTGAGCATGATCATTTTTCCTCAAATTTAGTGTTAGAATATTTCTTAGGGGTCATACACAGCACTGGAAGCATTTTTATTTACATATCTCGCACCCCAAGGTTTACTTTCCCGTAATCAACACTTTCGTTAACCTTCCGTCTCAAGCATCTCCTTTGTCGTCTTTCCTTCTCCGATGATCTTGCTATTGATGCCTTCATCTAGTGACGTACGGGGATGAAATCAAGACATTAGATCAGGTGATCGTGTCATAATGGAGAAGTAGTTCGTAAGCAATGGCCTTCTTGCGCCACACCTCAACATCCTCCATCATACTGGGACCTCATTGAGAACTCCGGCCGCTGAGATCACCCCCTTGCACCATCACCTCTACGCCATCCGTCTTCATGCCTACAATTGCAAGCCTCGCCGTGCTCCGTTGTTAGCTTTCTGTCGTGATCGCCCTCCGATCTTCATCGGATAGAAACCAGAACCCCCCACAGAGCTCTGAGACGAAGTCCTCCAACCTACAGCTTCTCCGCCATCGCTTGAAGCAGGCCCTTGTCCCCTTCCTTATCCTCTTGCATTTAATTGTACTCACTCCATAGTTCGCAGCGATAGCTGGATTTCGTCCCCTTCGTCGCCGTTGGAGACGAAGGTTAACAAAAGTGTTGATTTTGTAAAAGTAAACTTTGGGGTGTGAGACATGTGAATAATAATGTTTCCGGTGCTATGCATGTAAAAACCTCTATTTCTTGTTATACAATTTAGTTGTATTCCTAAACTTATCATGCAAATCATGCACACATGCGCACATACACACACAAATTCATATATTGTATAAATGATGAGCGAAATTAGAATATGATCGCACTGCTGAATGAGAAAGATTTGTAGGCTTTTTAGGGGTTCAAATCCTGAAAAATTTTAAGTGGAATACCATATATATTTATATGGCAGTATTATATGTAAATCTCAATTATTTAGACCTTTTCTAACCAAAAATCTTAATTGATTTTGTATGATTTCTATTTACTACTTCAATTTGATCATCAGTGTGACTGTGCGAAGCTGAAGACTAATGAAAGCTTAAATGGTAGTGCTTCGTAATTTTTATAATTTTAGACTAAGAAGTTAATTGAATATCTATTTTAGATTTATAATCTTGAATAACCCTTATAATCTAGCTATTTTCTTATAAAAAGGTTTTGCTACATAGATGCATTAGTAGTTTTTAAGCATGCAATAAAGTGAATCATTTTACATACTCTATTTACTGTCCTCAGCATACTACTATGGCTACAAATCCTATAATACTGATAAATCATTCTAGTGACCTACCTAATGAATGCCAGTAAAAAATACATTCTAGCATCTTGTTTAAAATTGTGCAATATGAGGTGTGTCTTGAGTTTCGCCTCCACGTGTTTTATAAAAAATCACAATGAATCTTAGTCTCATTGTCCAATAGTGAGACGTATGCCTTACCTAGGCGCGGAGCCCCTGCTCAAGGCACGCCTCGCATAAAAAAATGCCTCAAGACACGCCTCGCCTCAAAAAATACCTCAATTTTTTTAGGTTATCTAAATTTTTTTTTAGTAAAACTAAAAGTAATATCAATATATCTCACTATCAACTTTCGCACCTTACACATTAAATAACAAGAAATAAAAGAAAGATTGTATTCATAAAAAATTATGCAGTTAAATTTTTAATTCTTAACATAATTATTATTTTCATTAATATTTTTCTTGATGATTATTCATTAAAAAATAAAAAAAATAACTGCTATTTAAGATAATAAGGAATGATAGAATATAGATACAACTGAGTCTAAGTTGCGAGATAAATCTCATTAGGACGACAATTCTTATGAAAATCAATTGTGTGGTGAGAGTAATAGAGTCTTTAAAATAAATAATTGAAATATTGATAATATATTGTTTTTTATGTGGGGTAGTACGAATGAGAAAGAAAGATTAATATTTAACTTATTTTGATTGTTATAGTTTGATATTTCAATATTTTATTTTAATATTTTAGCTTACTTTGATAGTTTAATGTTTGAATAACCCATCTTATTTCATTATTTGAGGTTAGGATATTAGTGTTATTTCTAGTTTTACACAATTTATTATTTGATACTTAATTAGAATGTTGGTATATTACTTTTATTATTGTGTTAATAAATTAGAATATTGATATATTATTTCTTACTTTGCACTTCATAATTTATATGATATTTATTAATTTACGCAATTTTTAAATTTTGGGCTTTATGCCTCAAAATGTCTTGAGGCATATACCTCTCCTCATAAATGAAAAACGCCTCAATATCCAATTGTACAATTTTAAATGTAGTTCTAGTAAAACTTTGATTTTATCCCATCAGCATGACTTGCCAACATGACTTGCCATGCTACTAACATGCATTTTCCAAATAATATGATCACGAAAAAGATTATGTAAATTGTAAGCCTACTGTTTTTAAAAAGAAATCTATTCAAATCATAAAGTAGTATAAGGAATATCTCATATGTCCCTCTGATGATGATAAATCAAGTAATTTAGAATGTCAGATTCTCATCTCATATGCAGTCAAAATCAGGCATATTGTTGTGCATAATAAGTAAGAGTAAGGAAATGTAGGATATTATCTATTGGTTAATTTTGATTGCTAGATATATGTTTCATGATAAAGTTGTAATCTTGAAGGGACTCGATTCACTTGACATGTTTGCACTTAATTTTGTTTTGTATTTATATATATCAAGGCCTGTTAAATCTGAAATGAGAGTAAATTTCTTGGGTGAAAATAATACTATTGATATCTTTAAGTTTGAAAAAGAGCATAAAATTTTCTATTTTGAATTATATACCTCAATTTTATCTCATTTGACTTTTCACTAAAGCAGGCAAACTCGGCTAATAAATTCAAGGGGTATCACATAATAAAATTCAGGCGAACTTGCTGAACACAGTTAGGGAGTCCTTGCTCTTGTGATGCAGTTATCAATACTTTTATTTTTCAGAAGACTTTTATTTAAACTTATCTTTTATAAATTATTCGTCAAAGAGACAACGAGAGAACCAAAGTTCTTGATGAACCGTTTGTAGAATGCATTCAACCTGTGAAAACTCTAATATTAGAGATTGA